TTTTGGCCCCTAGAATCTTCCATTAAAATTTTTCCCAGGGTTGGGAAAGTCCTGTATACACACATTTAAGCAGAAACTAAAAGAAAATATTGTAACCAGGGTCCCTAGAGTGAAATACTAATGTAAATATATGTATAACAATATAATGCAAAATGGCGACTATATGGCGTCGTACAAGTGCAAAGGGTTAAATATGATTGTTAGAAAATGCTGTAAATTATGTAGATAGAAAACATTACATTTACAGATTGTATTTTCTAATTATTTAATTACTGCCTATCTATTCTCGTCGTTGCGAACGGATTAATTCCTTGATTGATCGAAACGAAACGAAAATGGCGGAGATCTGGACGTTCCTTCCGCCTCCATGGCCAAAGAGGCGACGCCCAGCCGGCGTATTTTGAATTTCACAACGTCTCTACGTGGGAAAAGAAATCGGCCGTTGTCTCTAATTGTCCTCCCGGAGACATCGTGGGGTTAACGACCGTCGTGCACGCCCGTATCGGCCCGTTGTTAATTACGGGAACGAAATCCTCCCTGGTGCCGTCGAATCCTCCTTTTTTCCGTCCTCAGCCGCCACGAGTCACGAGAAACCGCTGGCCTTGTCTCACGGTCGATAATCTCAGGCATAGGATTCCATTGTTGTGGAATTAGTCACGCCGAGGCCCACGAAGATACATCCGGGATGTGGTCGAGCCAGGTCGAATACTCGAAATACCGAAGTTTCGATCGAGTCTGGTCCATCAGCGACTGTCGTTCCGCCAGACGCCTGGACGACGCCATATTTGTTCCGAAAATATAGAAATCGTAAAGTCCAACGAGGAAGAACGGTAACGGAAAACGCGGAATTTTTATTCGAAAATATAAAACCAGTTGTGGCGGATAGGGGACAGGGAATATATTTTGCTCGGAAAAGAAATAAAACGAATAATAGATCATTGTTACTCTAAATTTCATGTTGATGTCAAGAGTTTTTCATTTAATTGAGATTTATATCGAGCGAAATGAGGTGAATGGTCTCTTTGTTTTCGTAACTAGGCATGTTTAGAAGATCTAGAGAAAAATTCACGCACGATAGTTCGTTCTACGGCTTGTCTATTAATATATTCGATGGTAACACCTGCACACACGATATCATCTTATGCAATAATTCTCACGGCTGACTGCCGCGAAGTCGAGCGTCGAAGGATGCCGGTTAGTCGTGTCACACTTCCGAGCAACGTTTTAAAATGCTGGTCATGTTTATGGTGTCCATAAATATGACGACGAGATTCTTACGAAAAGAGTATTCCGTACCTGGAAGAAACGGGGAGACAAGGAAGCAGGATTTTCTATTATCTACTGCTCCAGGTAGCTGAGAAACTTGGTAATTTCCTGCAAACAAGTCACAGTCGTTTAATCCTTAGAAAGACTAACGAAGAGGGTGGGTGCAAGAACTTTCAGGGTCACCGATTTCACCTAAACATTGTATACTTTGGTGGATTTCTTTTATTCGTTTTCCATCATTGTTACTGGTCATCAGTGACTTGGGCCAAAAATTCTATTATTTGCAGTGGTAAACCATAAATTTGTAAAGTAAACTTTGATAATCGAATCCAAAATAAACAAAAATTTAATGACTCACGAGTAACGATTATTTTTACTATTTTTTTGCGATTGATTACTCATTTAAACGTGTAATACTGTAAGAAGTAGGAAATATAAGTACATAAAAATGATACTTCCCTTTCTTAAAATATATTTCAACGTGCATGAAAAATATTAAACTTCTTAACCTGTTAAAAACCGATGATTTGTTATATCATAAACCGTATAAAAGCTATGTCTCCGGAGTAGAATACCCCTTAAGTCCTGCTTGTACGTAAATAAATGGCCGCCATTGTATGTGCCCAGCTACCGGTGTATCCGAGCCAGGCACGTATTGCCATAAACTGCGAGTCGATGAGTGTGTCAATGCAAAGTGGAAACGACCTTCCAGTGTCAGCGACCACTTTGCTCGTCTTGAGGACGAGCACCACGCGGACAGATGGTGAACGTTACGAGACAATACCAAGGACCAAGTTCGGTGGACGCGTATTACATACTGGTCGCGTAGAAAGTATGGAACAACGTGCATGGACGGTCATTCGTCGAGAGAAATTCGACCGTGATTGTTCGTCGGAACAAAAACGACCGTCTTTCCGGCCAATTAACAGCTTACGGCACTAATTGCCAGATGCAAGTCTCTTCAACGGCTGGTATCCTCGATTCTCGACCTCCTTTCTCGAAAAAAAATCAATATTTATTCGAAACCATATACAATAAGAAAGGAAATTAGTATATTGATGTTTCGATTACATTCAAAATTTGAACCGATGAAAGTAAGTAAAAATTGAATTGAAAACAACTGGAATTCTTTTTCCGTGAATTTCAAATGCAAAATTTATCTATTTTTGAAGGGATCGCTCCCCTAAAAGTTTAGAAACCAGAAATCAATATTTGTAATCGATTAAAGAAATATTTTTCGTACGCGATTTCAAATATTATATTGGAAACCGAAATTATGTCAACATCTACAAGTTCTTTTTTATAACTTGAAAGTACTTTACGCTAAATATCGCTATAAAAACGACGGCTCTAAATGGATTGGCTTTTACGCGTCCAATGAATACGATTAATGAATGCGATCGCTGGATTTCTGCTCACGGCGCGTGTCGAAAGTTCGGATCATCTAAAGAAAGTGAAATTCTCCGACAAAATGCTAGTAAAGTATGGATATCTACTAAGAATTCCTTCCACAACGGAATATGAAAACAAATGAAAGAATCCAATTACGGAACAACGCAGCAGAATGCGATGCGACCTATTGTATAAGATGAAAGACTCGATGGCGTTACGCAAACCACACATCTTCAACACTATAGCAGATGTTATACATTATACATCGTGCGTGTTATGCAGTATGTCCTGTTTACCTAGAAAAAAGGTGATTAACAACAAAAGTTGTTAACGAATTTAGTAAATTATATATTATAAATTTAAGTCACACCGCGAGTGGTTATTTTCAAACTAGAAATTTCTACATCCAAAAATTAATATACGAAAAATGCTTCCTGTTCCGTTCATGTCACGTTCCAATTTAATTAATTTTAATATTAACCTATTTTCATTTATTTGGATACATTCGTTTTTTAAATTTAACTAAACAAGGAATATGAAAGATTATTCAACGCGTGGAAAGCTGAGCTAGTTTTGTTTCACTTTCCACTTAGGTAATTATGGAAAATACATCTGTTTTCTAAATTTGTCTGAAATTCAATACAAAAAGTGTGAACATCTTTCTTAGGATTATATGAATTTTATTGTTTTTTAAATATGGTTAACCGACGCAAAACGTTTTTAGAAATTCTTTGTATCCGTGCCTTTGACGCTAAAATTGTAAAAAGTGCGATAAGCGAATCACTTTGCTCACTTTGAATCATGGTGCTCGCGAATTTCCTGTGGTTCCCCTTTTTTCAGAAATATTTCATTACATTACAGATCCGTCCCTGTGTCTATTTGCACACAGTGACGCGCGACGCAAGGCGATTGTCTACGTGACTGTCGTAGCTTCCTGCCCGATGTGTCCTACATATATGTTCAGCTGAGTTCCCTCGAATCATGGTTATAGTTCAAAGCATATCCACATTGTAGCAGAACTGTGAACGGAACACTGATTTTAACACTAGATTAACGAACATAGATTGCACATATTTTTATCGAAATCCGTTACATCGGCAGTTACATTGAAATGTTGTTCTCCTTTTAAGTAGAATTAAGAAATATATTCATACCTTATTATAAATTGTTAGCGAATAATATTTGTGAGTTCTGTGACTTGAAGTATGGGGAATGTGAAACTCGTCAAATTGACTAGGTTCATGAATCTAACGTTAAGCAACGAATAGGGGACTTTCATGTCTCGAATTCGATTAGAGTATACGCCATGTTCTTTTTATTTTTGGTACCAACGTGAATTCTCTGTTAGACCTTTCGTGACGCTGCAATGCTTACACATCATTATAAAATTGGAACAGTATAATGATATTACACCGAATAATATAATAAATATCAATATAACCTTGGCCCCAACTGCTCACCAAATCATTATATACATATATCTAGGATCAAAATAAAATATGAGAATGAGAATACTAGAACCTAGACTGGAACGAGTTACAACAAAAATGGAAGTAAAAAATTGATAATCGAATATGCGGACTGTTCGAAGTCGCAAGCTTTTAAATTTAAATGCCAAACAAAAAATGTTATTTAACGGCTCTCGTTGTCACACTCCTCGCATTTCAATCCCCGATGAATCCTTCGATTCAGAGATATCTTGAAAAGCTTCTTTATGGATGGCCAGTTGGCAATTTAGGGGAACGTGATCCTAATTACGGATTACTGTCGAGTAATTCAGAATAGTTCTTGAATTGTCAAACGTGTCCGACAAGTTACGAAGCCTCTCATCGTTGCTCAAACAGACCACATTCCGAGCGATTTCCCTATTAGGAATTTTTTGAAACCAGACTTCTATAATACATATCCTAATCTACAGGATTCTTTGTATTTTCTTTAACTTTTAACGAACAGCAGCGATCGAGTTATTTGTTTTCTTAAATAAGTAAAGTTTTTGATCTTGAAACACGTTCGTTTGATATACTTATGCCAATTATTTGTCCTATATTGGCATAACTTTCGCCCTCTTAATGTAACTTAAAATTATTATGCTTTAAGAGTAGTCTCCGCCTTCTTTCGACTCGTTTCTGATTATCAATGTTATCTGATCGTAATTTCGATCTAGAATAGATTGTTGAGACTTGATCTAATTACAGGAAAAAGAAGAATTAACGATTAAAACGGTGCAATGCGTTAAGGAATTTAAGAATCGAGTGAAAAGCAAACGTTTAAGTAAAAAATATGTTTCTTGAGTTGAAAGAAATTGTTTAACTAATAATTCTACTGCGGTGATGTGTTTACAGGTGTACCGGTTACAGAGGAACCCGATGAAACGGCCACGGTCAAAACAGTTGGTACCAATTCGACGGTCGTCGTCGATCCTGAAATTCAGGGTCACTCGATGGACGACATACTTCCTGGAACGAAGGCACCGCCGTCAAATCCAGTGACATTCGTGGATGTTCCGGTCCACACGGAAACGGAACTCGGCTCGTCGGTGCTGCTGGCGTGCAGAACCGCCAATCCTGTGGCCGAGTGCCAATGGTCCTGGCAGCCATTGCCGCCTGTTCATCTGCCGCTTCCGGACATCAGTGAAAACCCAGCAACTTCGACGTGTCAGTTATCGATCACGATCGCTCTTTTTATTACAAATTCATAGCGCGTCGAAGGTCGAATCGCACCATAAACTAGTAACCTTCGTTGTACAGTCCTCTCTCTCGATAGGACCGTTTCGAATTACCCCCCACCCACACAGAAAAGTATGCTTTTAACGAGACGTCTTTATATCCTTCTGCTAAATTAATTTTTAGTTATTCGTTTTCATAGCCCTAAGGGGGGAAACCACTGTGACGGCTGAAAATAAAGGCAATTTTCAAGGATTTTTTGAGCCTAACTATGGAACTTTTTCTTATAAATGTTTAATGTTTTCGAAAGTACATTACTTGAACTACTTCTTGTAAAAATTTCATATAAAAATATTAATTATTACAGCCATAATAGGAATCAGCGTGAGAAAGTGTAATTTGTTAAACAAGAAATCATGCAATTTTCTTAGACTAGAAGACAGTAGGTTCAGTTGTACGTACGGATTTTTATTATAAAATGGTGGAACTTTGAAGGAAGAATCTCTAAAAACTGTGACAAAATCAATATTTCTTTTAACACCACGTCAAAACTAATTATTCGATCGAAAATTCGTAGTAAAATGTGTTTTAATGGCTTCCACGATTTCAGCCGTTTTGTTTGTTTAAAACGAAAAAAACGAAAGAGATTCTCAATCAGAATACTATATCGTTCTACAACAGAAGAGCAGAACAAAATTAATGATTACAAAGATGGCAACGTTTTGAAGTTGAAATATCGACTTTTGTTGTTGTGTTTAATTTTAGCAGGCTAAATAAAAATAGAAAAAATAATGTTGTTGATTGCATTGTACTGCGGACTATAGCGACACATGTACTGAAGGTACATGCAAAATTTGAACGAAATCGGTCAAGTTGATCTTGAAATATCATGGAAGCCAGTTCAGAAAAGACAGTTTTCAGAAAAACGCATTTAAACAGAAGGGTCAGACCGTTCAAACTTGTATACATATAATTTCATTCATTTTAGGAGTTCGGTGATATGCTTTTGCACATATACATATTTCTAGGATTACATATATCCTTTAAAAAAATGTAAAAAAAAGAAAAATCGAATTTTTTGGCGGTTTACAGTGGCCCTTAATTGTTCTTCCATCTTTTGTCTTAACTACTAATTCAATTTCAACGTTTCGTTTTTTTTTCTCGTTATTAAAAAATCCATTAAGAACGACTGTACGTCACGAGTATAGTTTTACGAGTTTCGAAGCGGAACTGTAGCTCTAGAAATAGTAAATAGAATTCGTATGACGTTGTTTTATGATTCGAAAATTCTATAAGCAATAGAAATTTGTAATTTATAGCCACCACAGTCTCGGTGATTCAGACGACAACCGCGCCGACTACCAATCCGTTGCCGGTACGACTGTTTCCTGCCTTCGGGAACAATAGCAACGACTGTTCCGTAAGATTCTCGAGTACGAAGCACGAGCAGACCGGATACTGGACCTGCGCCGCGAGAACTTCCACGAACGATCCTTTCACCAGTACGGAACCTGCTAAGCTGAGCATCGTCAATGAGAATAAGGGTATGGAATGTTCCCCCATTGTCTCTTCTCATTCTTACGATTCAAGATCAAGTACCATTCGACTCGATCGAACGATTAAATTAATGATCGATGATCGCAACGGACAAGAAAGTAGCGCTAAATTGTTTTCGATCCCGATAGAAATTCTCGCTTTGTCGCTTTTTATTTTCGTTCAAATAAAAGCCATGCTATGAAAAGTTGGCTTTTAATTAAAGATTGTGAGAAAACGCGTGGTTCTAGGTCTTCTGGTCGCGTTTGCAAAACACGATAGCGTCGTTGAGGTGCCAGCGGGATCATCGGCGCAAATAATGTGCCAGCTGAGGTCGCCTGTTCGCGAGTGTCAATGGTCATGGCGGCAGCTGAACCAATCGCAGCCCTGGAACCTCGAGGTGAAGCGATTCCCAGCTTTCGGGAACGACACCACGGACTGCAGCATTAAATTTAAAAACGTATTGCCAGAGCAAGAAGGCTATTGGACCTGCGGCGCCAGAATCGACCCCAACTCCTCGTTCACGCAGTCGAATCCCATTCGGTTTCTGATATCGGAAGGTTAGGGAGCCAAAAGCTTATTTTTTCCTATCGAATCAGGAACCAAAAATAATATTCTAAAAATTGTTGTGGAAAGAATCATTAGCAAGGAGTTGTTTTTAAGTACTTAAGTTGAAATCAATGATAGCTTAGGAGAATGAATTTCTGATGTCTCCAGGCAACGAATTAAAATATTGCCGTTCTTATTTCACAGTCGAGTTCGTACAATTGTCCAGAGGCATTCAAGTGGCGCCCGGAGAATCCGTGCTGCTCAGATGCCTGGTGAACAAACCGGTGGTTCAGTGCGAATGGTCCTGGAGGTCCTCGAACTCCAGCCAGGAGCCATTGTTGGTAAAGAAGTTTAATCCGAACAAAGACGCCGACCACGACTGTTCGGTGCGATTCAAGAATATTTTGTACGAAGAGGAAGGCCTGTGGACGTGCGGCGTTCGATTATCGCCGGAAGGAATTCTTCACGAGGCACCTCCTGCAACCGTCAGTCTCTTGCCCACAGGTAACAGACTCGACTGTTTGAAGAGGATATCTTTTATCTACACACGAAATTTTAGGTCTTCTTTGTGATTTTTTAAAAAGAAATCCGTCAACTGCTTTGTATTGAGATTTCGATGCATTTATTTACCGATGTTTCGGGCGTACACAGAATTTTTTTCAACCGAACGTAATCAAAATTGTGCGAACTACGGATTATTGAACAGAGTTCCCTCTTTAAGTAAAATTACGAGGTGGTAATAACGAAATGTTTAGAATGGCTGGAAATTTAAACAATTATACAAACATGTGTACTTACAAAGAAATAATGGAACTTTGATAAACACTAACGCTCGAAACAGAGAGATGGCATTAGGAATAATTTCGTATAATTTAGACGTGGCAGCGAAAAATTAATTATAATTAACGGAAAGTGTGTTACAAGCAGAACTACAATTTTCTTATTAGAAACATTTATCTAGTGATCAATCGATGGATACATTATTCCATTATTTCAGCCAAAGTCAGCATCGTTGAAACGCCGACGGACACTTCCGTGCCAGTCGGTACCGAGGCCACGTTGAAATGTATAACGAGCAGCCGCGTGGAGAAATGTACGTGGACGTGGAAACCGTTTCACGGAAACGATCCAGAAGTCGTTGCTCAGGAATTCCCAAGCAACGGTGACCTTGGCAGAGATTGTTCCCTCACTCTCTCGCGCGTGTACGCCGAAAAACAGGGTCAGTGGGCCTGCCAGGTGTCGATTAGCTCCCTCAACACGGTGCAGACCTCTCCCTACGCCAAGCTGACCGTCTTCGAACAAGGTAACTTCGTTTTCGGTGCCTCGAATCGTTCCTGAATTTTTTTCGATTAAAATCTACCAACGATTTCCGAATTCTCCCGTCTTTCAGACGAGGTGAAGTTCTCGGAGCTGTCGCAGGACTTCCAAATCGCATCCGGTGCGACCGTTCTCCTTCGATGCGTGACCTCCTCGGCCGTGGAGCAGTGTCGATGGTCCCTGACCCCGGTGAACTCGAACACCACGGTGGTGGTGAAGCAGTTTCCAGCAGCCGGAAGCGAGGCCAGGGACTGCAGCGTCAGGCTGAGCTACGCGCTCGCGGAACAGGAAGGACTCTGGACCTGCGGCGCCAGGATACGCGGTAAACAGAACTACACGGACGCTCCGCCGGCCAAGCTCAGCCTCCTGGAACCAGGTATCATCAAATCTTGAGACGGATTCGCGACATTCCTTCCCACGGTGAGGGTGTAAAGCATTATCCGATCGATCATCGATCTGTGGTCGACGACGCAACGGTCGCGATATCGTCGAGTGTTTGTTTATTACGAGGGCCCATAGATCGGCCATAGATCCTAAAGAGTGTGCGTGTGTTATGTATATATCGTTACTGTACGGGATGAGTCACACTCAGCAGCGGGATCTGAATCATTTCGCCAACCGTCGATGTTACAGAAAATAGCGTCGAAGGATACTCTTCGTCGCGAAGGTCACCTTCGTTTTTTTTTCTTCTTTTTAATAGAATCGTTGCATTCTTCGTCGAAGGTCGCATCCGTTAACAACGATTATCTCCTACGGAGTCATAATATTTATAACCTCTGCGATTATTCGTCGATGCATATCTCTAAGCGTCGTCTTGTTTTTCCACGTCGAAGATCTTCGTAACACCGAAGTCTATTAAATTCATTAATCGAGGAGTGTCTGTAGAAAATGTAACGATACACTGGCTAAGCACTATACGAAATTGTATAGTTGATTGGTAGAGAAGCTTATTACAAATTTAGTGAGTAATAAATATAGAAAATATGAAGAACCAAAAATATGTTTCTTTTAATTTGTTGTCAGGAGGCAAGAATTCTTTTTTTTGTATCTCGAGTACTGCAATTAGCAGAAGTTACAGTTTGGAAAATGGACGGTGAACTTCGATGCTCTGTGACATTTACGTTTCGCAAAATATTTCGATTCCAGCGAGGACTCAGCCTGTCCGACGTATACATGATTCGTGTCGTGCAACGAATATTAACATTTACGATCGGTATCGGACGTTACCGAGCCGTCGACAGAAATTCGATGACCGAGTGTGGACAAATGGACGGAATCGGTAAGAGAATACTCGTTGCAAGGACGAGAGGATCGATCACGGATCTCGACGTCGTAGGACTCCGGAGTATATCGCGTCTAGGTTCCTCGAAGACTGTTGTGGGTGATGGCATCGCGATGGTGATGGAATCTGCATGCCATTTAAAACTTTCGTATCGATCGTGTGCATCTATGCAGAACGCCTGTCTCTTGAGAATCAGTCATCAGCCACGTGTGCACGTATGTGTAAAAGGACGTACAAGAAATACGTTCGTTTTAACATTTCACAAAGCTTGCTGTTCAATGTTTATCGAGGGACGATCAACCGAGAATTGTACTTTCATTCTGGATGTTATTATTTTTTTATTAGGTTTATCGATCAGAAGGTTTGGGATCCAAAAGTGAAGGTTATGCGTCCAGGGCAGAGTATTTTTTTATATGTAGAACATTCCTCGACAGAGTTTGAGAATTTTTTTAATCACATAGTCGTCATTAAATTTTAAAAGAAAAATTCTAGAAATTTTTATTTAAAATACAATGATTAAGAAAAATTAACTTTTATGCATTGCAATTACTAATGAAGAATATTTTTTAATACGTTATTCACTGCAAGTTATTATGCCCCACATTGAAGTACTAAAAGTCGATTTAAAAGTGAACATTAGAGAAAATGGAAATGGAAGAGATTGTATTTTCCAATTTTGTTTATTTACAATATTTTTAGAGAAACGAAGGCGGCCACTTTTTTAAATGGTCCGCTGCATAAATTTTTTATATCATATGACATATAAAATACACACTGAGGCCAGAAATATATTTAATATTCCATTAATAAAACGATAAAATCGATATCCTGTGACTCGCAAAAATCTATCGATCAATCCGACAGTAGAATTCAGCGTTTAGTCTTCGATACGATTAGCTATACGTCCAAGAATCCGCTATGTTTAGAAGGAAAAAAAAGGAAAGTACCTGAGATGCCTTCCGCGTTACGGCGCATCTGCTACTCGTTCGCATTTGCATTTATTAACATTATCAGATCGTCTCGATTCCACCATTGTTTTGCCGTTCGTATTATTGTTTTTGTCGCGTCGACGATTTATCTGATCGTTAACGAGCGATAAACAATTCCCCGACCGTCTTCTTTAGAAATCGTATCGTTAGGGGGAACGCTTAATAACGCTACCAGCGATACCACAATTATTTTCCTTGTACGATTCGCTCGTTTATCGTCCCTCGAGCATACGTGTTTCTAATTCTGTACTTCCTATATAAGAAGAAGAAAAAAAAAAAATGTTTCGAGCGTATTTCGTCGGATACGCTTTGAAAATCGCGCACCTCTCGTCAAATAACATCTATCGCTAAATGTCATTCACCCTTTCTTATTTATATGCTCAACGGCAGGTCTACGCTCAAATGATTTCGCATTTAGAATAGTTAGTAGCCGCGTTAGGCACGCGAAACGTATTGTATGTATTAAGTCCGATCGCGAGCGCTCTGGCTGCAGTCAGATGTCATTCCTTCGTATTATTTATTGTCGAAAGCCGCTGTTGACAGGGAAAGTTTTCGCGTGGCCTTGCTTCGAGAATACTCGCTCGCGGCTGGTCTGCGTTAATTCTGAGATCCGAACTCGGCGATCGACGCAATCGAGGAATCCAATAGCCTTAGCGACGTTTCCTCGTCGAATCGGGAGCCCGAGAGATATTTCAGCAGTACGATTTTCCAGTTAAACGACCGGGAAAATCGATTCGTACGTTCTCGTACGTAATTCGGAGCGTATTAGCTAATAATTATTTAAAGGACTACGCAAGGAACTTTAGCATTAATACTTTGACGGCCATTGTCACGCGTACGTGACTTCATCAGGCAACCGTTAACCGGCCGCTGTCACGTATATGTATGTGTACATCATTTCACTGTTTCGGTTGTAATTTTATCAGTCTCGCGATGTTCAATATGGTATCTCTGCATCCATAGTTCATCGTAATAATATTCTTAGCATACCCGATGTGATATATTAAATGTTTATTACTCCAAACAGTCGTATCAAGCTATTCGTTTGAAATAACACAAGGTTGCAGCCACAAACTAATTATCCACCGTTATACATATATTACGTCCAAGTCTACCAAAAACGTTAAATTTACTCCCATCGGGGAATAATACCCTCAGAATTTATTTTTATGAATAACATGCCGGCCATCAAAGTGTTAAGATTAAGAATATTTATTTGTTAAGCGAAGTAGGTCCTTTAAGAGACTCCAGTGTGCTAGAAATAACTTGTACCCCGTTTCGGGGTTGAGTACCAGTTAGGTTCGAATCGAATCCAGACCCAACCGACGATATTACGAAAAATTTCTGTCATGCATGATCACATGATGGCCCATAATAAAGCAGGATTTTAGAATATTACGATACGCACTTATTACTATATACATACTCATTATATCCAACTACATGCTAAAATTAACGCTAAGTAGACAATTTTTACTGTTAAGCTTCTCGTTTACAAAAAAGTAGACGACACGGCGGTGTCGTTAATCGGTCGGATATTATTTACGAAGTAATAATAATCGCATTCGAAGCGAATCATCGCAATTAGGCAAGGCACAAGTGACCTCCCGCCATTTCCACAGGATGACCAAAGATGGACAAAATTTCCATTCGAACCGTGTACCGTAAAAATTCTAATTTTCATTCTAATAACGATGGATAAAATGTTTTCGTTATTTGGAGTTTTGCGTACAGACAAGAATTTTGACCATCTCTGGAGGCGATTTCCGGTCGCGACGGAACAGGGAAACTCGGGCACACAATGCGTGCAATAAATCAAACGTTAGAACGCTTCGTTCGAAGTTAATTAATATCTTCATGTGCCATTGAATTACTGTTAAGTTTCCAAAGTGAGCAAGCAATTCGTGAATCTGCATCGGGACGGATCGTGCGTTTCAGCGTCAGTCTCCGGCATTGTAAACGATTTCTTTGAATAAATGATAATACGAAAACTGCGACCTCTCTCATTGTCACCGTCTTCGACACGTTGCTAGAAAAACGAGCATTTTTACGAAATTAATTCACGAATTTGCTGTCGAGTATATAAAACCATGTATATTGTCATTAGTCCGCAGATAAATAATTTTTTGTAACGGCATTTTTCTAAAAAGCACTAATAATTCAGTGTATATCTGAATGTTACGATTTTATTTATCATGTATTATCACGTAGATGACAAAAGTACAATGGTTCTGACCATGATTAACCCGATTAACGAGCTAAACATGAACTGAAATTATAATTTTAGCCAGCGGTGTATATGGTATTAGACAAGACAGTAAAAACTATTAATGAAACGTGAATATAAATGTTTGTACACACCACGGTGAATCGGTTAACTAATACGCTCGAGAGCTGAATGTGACGAAAATGCAGAAAAGTGTGAACGCTGCTTTACCGTAGTCTGGACGAAATGAATTGGCTGCTCAAGGCCACCGAATAACCCCTACCATATCGTTTGACTACGCTCTGCTTCGCATACATTCCGTGTCTGAATCACTTGGGAACATCCTAATTAACTAAAACAATACAAGCGATAACAGAGCTGAAATTGTTAAATATCTTTCCACGACTGTCTCAAAATATTTAAAAAATGTCGCGTTCTTTAAATCGACAGTCGATTAAGTTCTATCCGACTAGAGTCGAAGAACTTTCACGTTTCTGGAAATCATGGCAGTCATTAGACATTGAACATTCTACATATATTCCTAAGTATGATTATTAACACCACATCTTTCACGCTATTCGCTCTGACACCAAATTGCCTCGTAACGTTTCTTCCGATCTCTAAAAAATGTAAAATGCTGCAAGAGACACACACTGAACATTTGCCATACATTAAATACACACTTTTCTCCTGGCAAACAATGTGTCACATTGCTTGCGCACAATTCAAGCACATTCGAATGCACAGTCGGTTTTTCTTAAGGACCTGCACCGAAGAAGATAATCATCGACGCTTTCGGTGATTGGGTAAAAAAAGATGGAAGAGATCTCATTGATTACAGAATGGATTGATCATTTTTAGAATCAGTGACTATGGCACTGTGGGCTACGCCCCACCAAATGGTTACGCTAGCGTGTAAAGTGGAAACTGTATTATCGGAAGTGCAATGCCACTGGTTCCATGCGTCGAAGATCCATGTTTATCAAAATATGACCGGCAACAAAAGGTAACTAACTTCCGGCGAAACTGCCTGAAGCTTATTTAAATGTTTCTTCATGTTATTCGATATTCCAGGCATAATATACAGATGGACTATGGTACGGGGATATGTACGTTACAATTCAAACCCGATCATTCAGATTTAGGACAATGGACGTGTAAATTCATCGTCGCCAACGGATACGTTGACGAAGAACTGGGAAGTGCGACTCTCGTTCTATTGAATAGCTTAGGCGGTGTGTATTATTAAATTTGGGCACATACAAGAGGGTGTTCGGGCATCCCTGGGAAAAATTTTAATAGGAGCTTCTTGGGGCAAAAATAAGACGAAAATCAAAAATACCAATTTGTTGATCGAGGCTTCGTTAAAAAGTTATTAACGTTTAAAGTTCCGCCTGTAGAACAGCAATCTGCGAACAGCTGCATACGCGTGATAGTGAATCTCACTTACAAAACTGTAAGACTGTCGATACGTCAGTAAGTAGAGTCATACTGAATGAGAACCATTATCACGCGCACGCAGCAGAACTTTAAACGTTAATAACTTTTTAACAAAGTCTCGATCAACAAATTGGAATTCTTGATTTTCGTCTTATTTTTACTCCTAGAATTCCCCATTAAAATTTTTCCCAGGGGTGGCCTAACACCCTGTACAATATGTATAATATTCCGGATTGCATGGAAAGTTTCTGCGTTTTTATTCTAAATAAATTCGACTATATTGTTCTCACAAAATTTATTCAATCGATCATATAATTTACATTAGTCCATAAAATTGTTGTGCTACTGACAAAAAATACTCTGGACAACGTCTCACAACAAAACGCACAAAATTTCCGTTCAACCCAATAAAAAGAAGTACAGTGACAACTCGATAAATATCCTCAAGAGCTGTTCCTTAAATGATACATTTTTATCCCCACCACTAGAGGGATTCCCCTTGAACCAGTGAGGCAAAGTGTAACCGGAGACGTAGTGGCTTTCTCTAAAAATTTTTATTGCCTTCGTCACCTTCGTTTAAATGCCCCTGTCAATGTGACCACACTACTGCACAGAAGAAAGTTTTTTATTTTTTACATTTTGTTAATAAAAATTTCATTATCATGTGGAGGAGATTTTTCTGATTAAAATGAGACTAAACACGATATGTGTTGTCCTTTTCTATATTCGGAAACATCAAAGAACGACGTATCGAGGTGCTGGGTACATTTATCGAATAGGAGGTAGCTATTTTCAAACGGAACGCTTCCACTGTTCCGTAAATGACCAGAAACTGCAACACTTATGAGATAGGAGGTTTCGTTAGCTACCTCTGTTCGATAAATGTACTATGCACTGACTTTGCGAATATACGAGTACATACATGTTTTGGAGGTGTCATTAAAATACCTTTCCCTAACTCCACTGAGACATTTCACTCTAAATTGAACACGTTTTGACACACAATTTCAGATTTTGTGTAAATTGAAATATTTTCAGAAATGTAATGTGTAACGGATATTTAGACTGGAGCAATAAATCCGGTTTTCAGTTCCTCTTTCTTCTTTAGCTACTACTATTATTCCATAAATGTTTCAGTAGTGACATTTATCGAATTTTCACTGTAACTAGCAAACGTGATTATTCGCTTGTAATTATAGGTGAATATATGTATAAGAATTCCCTGTACAGTGTTCCTTATATTTATTTGTATATTATAGACGAGAAGCTGGGATGGATAGTAGGCGCTTTGACGGCTATGATTTTGTTCCTGATGATTATTGTAGTTGTTTTGGTAGTTTGCAAGGCGCGTCTGTTTGTCAGAAAGTCGTCACGAATTCTGGAAACTGCAAGTCCGTCGGAAAAGAAACAAAATGCACGGCTAAACGGCAATCGGTACTCCGAGAATCCGAGAAAAGCAGATATACAAATTTCTGCACAAGATAATCAAATTGCATTAAATATTGATAACATTCTACCTAACAGAAGTCCGCATTTATACGAACGGGTAGAAAAATATAGGTCGTCGAAAGTATATGAAAATATTCGAATGTGAAAGCACTTTTATTTAGAAATTTTATCATAAAAATAAAGTTATAAATGTAAATAGAATTTTAGCGAAATATATGTAATATTTGTAACTTCCAATTAGACATAATACTTATTTAACCTACAAATATTAAAAACAATACAGAAATGCAATTGTAATAAATAGGCAAAATTAAGAAATATATTTATTTGTAATATACAAAGTTTAGTGACAATTATAAATAATGCTAACTATTCAAGGCCTATTTAAGAGCATCTAATTGAGATTGCAACTTTTCCAAATTCTGATACAACTCTGTTAGTTCTTTTTTATCAAATTCAACAGTTAATTTAGATTCTTGTTCTCCTGTTAAATTCAGTTGCAACAATGTCATTGGACGCACATCCTTTTTAATAGTGGAAGATGCAGCTTGAATATTTAGACACCAATCAATATCTTTAACCTGAAACAAAATATAAAAAAGAGTCATATTCTTTACATTTCATGAAATTACAAGTGTTTATCTTTATATTGTACCTGAACAGGAAATATAGACTGCTGTCTAAAGTTATCAATTATGCATTTGCCATAAGTAATCCATGCATTCAGAAATATTTGAACTTTATCTTCATTGGTTTTAAAGGTATCCTTTAAAGTGTTTTCCAAAGTTTGTGATTTTACTATGTTGCATGCTGCTTGCTTATAAATTGATATTATTGCATCTAAAAGTGAAACTAAATCATCCTTATTTAAGTCCAGAGAAATCAATAACTTTTCTTCCTCTTCTTCACTGAATATTTTCGGATTTACGTTAGACTGTAGTGTTTGACAAATACGATTTATGAGTAATCGAAATTTACTGTTATCTATTTGATTTGCTATTTTTAGGCCACGTTCAAGCCTAAAACAAACAATGCAAATATTCGCTTACGTTTACGAAATATCTAACATCTCCTAAACGAATTAATTCTAGTTGGGTCAACAAAAATGATAAAATTTAAATATTACCGCGGTGTTACGGATATCCAAGTAGCCATGTTACTCAATACATTTATAGGTTAAGCGCGATTTTAACATGAATCGTTGATAAAATTAAAAAACATAAATATCATGACTAGTGTGAATTTCATTAATCAACACTTAATTTTTCAACAATAAGTCACATTCGGTTTTACATCACGAATTATGTACATATGTATGTATATATGGACGTGCCACCCATAGAATTTTACACTTGAATTATTTACAACAATTAAAGTAGTATTATATTTATAATATATGCCAATGCATATGACGATTAAAAGAGGCGGATCTTATTCAGTCTTATCTTTCCTGATTACAACAATTTGCGTGTCAACCAGATTTATTGTACGAAGGTAACGCACGTGCGCAAAAACTGTTCACAGCCGTGATTATTGAATTGAAATTGATAAGAATTTTTTTATACTCGTATACAAAACGTCTCGTACAATTAGAAGTTGATCATAAGTATTAAAAATGGCTTCGTACGAAGAGTATGATAAGGTATTATTTATTATCACAATTTTAATTTCAATTCACAAACAGGATATTATTTCATTTTAATTTCTAATTGTTCTCCGCTTTAATCCTTAATAATGTACTTAAAAATATGATGTATTTCCGTGTGGACATTTAAATGAAAATTACTTCATTTTATAGGAACACCCAAAAAATTTGATTCCTGAACTGTGCAAACAATTTTATGATCTTGGCTGGGTCACTGGTACAGGTGGTGGTATATCCATCAAACACAAGTTTGTACTGTTTTACCAATTTATTGTATTTAATATATATTCATGTATCATTAATATTTTTGTATCTTTGTAGAGATAAAATTTACATTGCCCCATCCGGTGTTCAAAAAGAACGTATCTGTCCGAATGAATTGTTTGTCCAGGATATTGATGGCAAAGACTTAGAATTACCACCAGCTGAGAAAAAGTTAAAAAAATCACAGTGTACACCATTATTCATGTGCGCATATTTAAGAAGAAATGCTGGGGCTGTGATTCATACTCATTCAAAATTTGCTGTAATGGTGACATTACATTGGCCTGGGAAAGAATTTCGTGTTACTCATCTTGAAATGATAAAAGGTATAAATTTAAAAAATATAGAATTGTTGCTATCGTTTATAAAAATAATGTATACACAGGTATATGGAATCAGAAACTAAAACGATCATATCGTTACGACGAAGAATTAATAGTGCCGATAATCGAGAATACTCCGTTCGAGAAAGACTTAAGGGATGAATTGGATAAAACTATTATAGCTTATCCGGAAGCGTGCGCGGTATTAGTACGAAGACATGGTGTTTATGTTTGGGGCGAATCATGGCAGAAGGCAAAAACTATGTACGCATTTTCTATTTTACTTTAACCATTAAGTATAATTTTATTGTTTTTATCTGCTGAATATTTTTTTGTGCAGGACGGAATGTTATGATTATTTGTTTGATATCGCATTACAAATGAAATTAAGTGGATTAGATCCTCTTGCAACTCCAGAAGACCATGAATTAAAGTACCAAACGAATGGAACAGTGAATTAACAACACTATTCTTATTCTGTTCTTTTATAAATTGTAATAAATTACTCTTTTTGTATATTTCACAAAATCGACCGCATATAAATGTATTTACATATATTACAGTACCAATTTGTTGCAATTTCATACATTTTCACGTATCTAAATCGAACGGTTGGAACTCTTTTCTAATTCTGTTTGCTAATTCAATTTCCTCTTCTTTATCCATTTGACAATCTTTCCAATCAACCCTGTCATTGATATCTAAGATTCTATCAGACGCTAATACTTCTCTTCCAAATTGGAGCGGGAAATCTTTTTTAATTCTGTAATACAATTTTATTCCGGCCGGCAGTTCCACATAGAAATATAAAATACCCGGTTTTGCAATTTGTTGCAAATCCGTATGCATCGGCAGTTCGGTTATTTTAAAATTATTACACTCTGCCATTTCCTGAAATGAAAACATTAAAAATTAATTATTAATCTACATTTATCGCGTTTTAATAGTAGAAAAATTTACCTCAAACATTTCTTTCAGAGCAGGTGTTAGATTTTTGTGAACAGGTATAACTTGTAGTTGACAATGAGACGTTTTGTAATTGCGTTCAAAGAATACAGGTACTTTATCCATAGTAGCATAGTATTTTGTTATAGCATTTTTGTACAGATCCATTTCTTCGTTCACCTCTTTTGGTAAAATAGAAAGGCTCTGGTGGTGTGTTATTGGTAGAATTAAAAAGTGATCTTCTACTAATCCTCCTCTAGCAAGAGCAACATAAACTTCTGATCCAACAGATATTACTAAGTGCTTTGAAACTTCTGGACTTGATAAACAAAACCAGCATTTTGCTTGATCAAATTCTGGTTTTGGTCTCTTAATAGGACCATCTGCATGTCTTGACCTTTTTGTGACTTCCTTAGAATCCATGTCATAAAAGAACTGTGTACGTTTTGGTTCTGCCTTCTGTGATGAAGGCTGGTTAAATAACATTGACTTTGGATAAGGACTATCCGTCTCATCTGTAGTTTTCATAACTAAATCAGATAGACGTGTTCTATCAACAGGTGTCAAATTCAATGCATATAACCACTTCTTTTTTTGACTATTCATTACAGGGGCAAGTGCTATAAATCTTGTTGCTATTTCAATGTTACCTTCTTGTTGACCTTGATTCCTAAAAGTTAAGAAATTAAATTCATAAATAAAATTTTCCATCGAGCTACAACCATACAAGTTTTCTAATATTAATAAAACGTTCAATCACCTATAAGGTGGTCTTTCATAATGAATTCTTTCTAATGCAGACACGTGATATCTTGGCTTTACTTGTACAGCCAGCCATGCAATCAATTTAGAACCCCGATATGTAAAATTTGGTTTATTAGGGTCTAAATTTGTAATGCCCATGGGCCAAGGAGAAGTCAACAATATATCAATACCACGAAAACTGGGTTGACCTCTTAAGCAAGAATTCTTAATCGATATAACATCGCTTTCACTGAAACAAGTGGGTTTTGATTCGGATGAATTGCTTTCTGTACCACTGACATAAGCTATTTTCAGCCCAGAACTGGCAGTATAAACTCCACGTTTCCCAAGATAAGTCAGATTTTGACATATTTCACAACCATCTTCGTCTGGATAATTCTCCAAGTCAATTTCACTATTGGCGCCAATAATGTACGTCGGAACAGGAATATTTTTTGCGCCATTTTTATACACCTCGAGTTCTATATTATTTTCACCGAAAAAGTTTCCGACGCATAACAGAAAGTCGAACGGGCCGCTTTTCTTATTGATAGCCTCAACTTTGTTAAACAAAAATTTGAAGTGTCCCTCCACATCTCCACAAATTAACACCTTTTGTTTCTCACTCATTTATAATAATATAACCTACACTTCGATCAACGGAAAATATACGTAACCGATACAATTCCAAACTTACTTTAAAACCGTATTAATCGTATAATTATAATAATTTTCCGTTCTCGATATTAAAATAGATGTATAGTTATGTTAGATTTTATGATATCATTATGTTACCGCTTTCAACGTAAACAATTCCACGAAACGTTTAGAATCGTTACTAGATAACTAGTTTCATTTATCGGGTGCTATAAACCTCCTAAATACTGTGGTGATTTTTGTGATAAATTTTATTAGCAACAAGATTAGAAATTATGTAAAACAATCTTTGCTCAAGTTTAATTTCAAAAACAGTGGAAACTGATATTCGATGCTTTAATATTTCACTCGCTTAATACATTTCTATGAATAATAGATGTTATTTAATGAAAGTTCAAGTATTTGTTCCAACATATCGTATATCTCCTCTAAAAATATTTTATTTTTCGAATAATAATGTAATTTCTGTGTCACAAATAAATGCTTGGTAGTTAAACAGATTATAGTAGGAATTATGATTTGCTAATATTTTGTGTATCCACTATGGATCTCTTAAAGATGAAATATTGGTAGGCCAGATTCAAGAGTGGGCTGCAACAAATGGTTGTTCATATTCATCTTCGGATGAGGATGAGTATGCCATTCCTGCTATGTACTATTTTGTCACCATACTTGTCTGTAGTTACAGAACAGGCATAACACAGGCGGGATACATAAGTAGACATTACAACCAATCAGAGATGCCAGATTGAGCACCGGGTGCACTACTCACACTATGCCAGATCACGCGTACGTGAGCTCGTAGAGTTTGGAAAGTCGACAAAGGTAAACAGTCACATGCTCTCTTTCTCGATTCTCCGAAGCTACCCGAAGTAATTTCGGACCGCCTCGTGGGAGTCGAGAGAGAAACGATCACATTTGCTTTCTCGCTCTTGAACAACTAAAATTCGACCTCCCGCCAACGGCATACGATTTGGAATCTTCAGTCGTGATTCTCGACTGCCCAGGCATTTTTACTTTCCAATCTATGTACATATGAAGTCGCACATAAGCAAAATACCCATAATGAAAACAAAATTTTGTGAAATTTTTTTTACGAAAATACACGTTTTAAAACTGCCTGATTATATTTTAATTATTGAAAAAAAAGAATTTTTTTTTATTATTCCTATATATGAGCTACATATGTATGTATATTATTTTAGATATCACTTCTGATATATCTGGCAACGTATAACCATTACTACTGGCTACTGCCAGCCTCTCCCAGCCTCTGCTGGCTTCTCCTGGCCTCTGCTAACCTCTACCAGCATATGCGGGCCTCTGCCTGCCTCTGCTAGCCTCTGCTGGCTCCTGCTGACCACTGCTGACCTTTGTTGACAACTTCTGACATCATATATATGTATTAAAGCTTTGTATAATGTAAATCTATAGCAATAAATATAAGATACGTGCCACCTATTCGCAAAGCCGTCAACATTTTGGAAAAATTCCGGACACTTTGGAAATCCGGACGACCTTAGCCCAATTTCGAAAGTGGGTTAAGGTCATCGGTATTTCAGATAATGTTCTGGACATTTTGGGAATCCGGATTTGGCCTTGACCCAGTTTCAAAAGTGGGTCAAGGTCACGAGCATTTTGGAAATGTTCAGGGCACTTTTTTTTTGTCGTAGGGAAAATCTTCGAAAGACTCCCTCCCGCCTCTTTGGGGAGATCGTTGCTCGCGCACATCAATTATGTGCAAATGCCCAAAATCGACATAGGGCGCATCGCGCAGGTAGCTGGGCCAGCTATCCTGCTCGTGCACAAAGCGTGCCCGAGAGGTGCTGCCAATGAGCGTCGTGGTGGCCAAAGCATGAGTGATTTCTCGGCCATGGTTATCTGATGAATTAATTCTTGAACAATATCCTTTTTCATCATCTCATCTTAAAGTATTTTCATTTTGAAAAATCGTATTAATAATATACATATGTACGCTCATACATAGAAATAATAAAAAAAAAATTTCTTTTATCAATAGTTAAAATATGATCAGGGGGTCTTAAAACGTGTATTTCGAATATTAGAATAATGTTTTTCCGAATGCATGAACGTTCGGAACTGAATACAACACATTTATACCGGTGTTTGGTCCGCGGAAGCTTTCGCCACAGACGAGATATATGAATAGACCTTTCACCTTATGGACTTTCGCGGCCGAATCTGACTGCCATACCGACCTGAAAATTCGGAGCTGATTTTAGCGGCCTCTTCTCATGGATGGCGGTTAGTTGAGAAACTAGGCACTGAATTAGTATTGATGGGCAGCCAGCTGAGTGAGTACGTAAATACATGTGAGTTGATTATGGGAGGGATTGGAAAAGACAGTGGAGTATTATCAGACGGCAGACCCGTGCCCAAAGGGAACTGCCCCACCACTCACACACACTAATGCCAACCACCTTGTATATGAGTTCTGGCGTTTCGTATAGCTTCGTAGATTCGAGAAAGGCGGCGAATGTCAGTCTATCCTTCTTGCTCTCAACACAGCTGAAATTCGATCTCGCATTTCTCGAGCCGAGATTCTCGACTGCCTAGGCATTTTTGACTTTCCGACCTGTGTAGGCATATACAATGTATAAGCAATATACCATAATGAAGAAAAAATTACAAAAATTTGTTTTTACGGAAATACACGTTTTAAAACGATAATATTTTATGAACATATTTTAACCCTTTGCACTCGGTCGTCCCCTCTGAGGGGACATGAAAGTTTATTAGTGATTAAGGAGAATGAACTGATTTCACCGCAATTTTTTAAGAAACACATGTTTTCCTGTACTTTCCTATTAAAATGGGAAGTATTCTATTAAAATGAGAAATATATCAGCCGTTTTTACGTTGGGAGTGGAAGGATTGTCGATGATGGTCAGAGGCGTATGGTCGGATTCAAACACGTGGACAATAAACGTAACTATATAAACTATATTATTTAATGTTTACTAAAATTATTTAACATAAAGAACATAAAACGTAAACGTAAAAAACTATAAACGTAAAATCGAAACTTCATTCAAAGTCGAACCATTCCTATTGCTATCTTCGTTATAATCTAAATAAATTAACGTTCTTTGTCGGACAATAGAATGAATAATAAGCTACATATTCCAAATGTAGGCCAAAGAAACCGGGACTGCATTATTTGTTCCGACAGGAAAACACCAGGAGAAAGACGTCAAACAACATTTTATTGTGAAACATGTATAAATCAACCTGCTATGTATATTGGGAATTGTTTCAGAATTTACCATACCATAGAAAATTATGAGAAATAAATTTTTATTTTGTATTGTAAATATGTGTTCTTCAATGTCCATAAATACATATAAACCAAATTTCAACACAATGCCTTACTTGGTTCCAAAGTTGTACCATATAATATCACGACTCAAGGGTTTTCGTTTTCGCGAGAAAGTAGCGTCGAGTTGCTGATAGCTAACGTCCGAAAAGGTGCCGAGTGCAAAGGGTTAACTATTAAAAAAGACATTTTTTTACTACGCTTATGGACGTGCGTTCATATATTTATACTATTAATACGATTGAGTCTAAACAACCAAATGAATTTCAATGTAATTTTACATTAAGTTTTGTGTTCTCATTTCAAGGTTTGATACACGTTATTTGTAAGAAATTTAAAAAATGTAAAGTAATAAAATTATAATTATAAAAAATGATTAGGTAATAACCAATAAATTAAAATTTATTTATTTATTTATTTATAAATGGGTTCAAAAGTCATACATGTACAAAAAGGAAGCGTGCATACAGACGAGCAACTTATACAATATAACTATAACAAAAAATATACAAATTACAGTATACTATACACAAGATTTCTAAACGAGATCAATAATGTAGAACGTAAGTTTCGTAATTTCCTAGATGCATCGCATAAATTTTCTTCTTCGGTGAATGATTTCTCCGACTGACTTGCTCATATATAAAGGCCTAAAAAATAGAATCCATGAGAAATTACCATTATAATTATAAGTGCCTTTCTTTCATCTTAGTTCCATTACTACTATGTATGTATACAATAATATTAATGTAATATTAATATGTGTAGTAATGTTAACAGGATTGGCCACGTGAAGGCGTGAAGAAAGGACTTTACAATCCCGGAATACACTCAACGTTTCTGAAAGTAGGAACCATGCCAATAGGCTGTACAAATTATAATGTGATTCTACTATTATACATGACATCCCACAAATTCCCTTGCAAAACACGAAACCTTGAATGTATTCAAAATATGTCCAAATATATTATATGTATACATTAAATAATGGAATAAATTTATATAAAAAAAGCACGTTTACAAATTTTGCAAAGTACGCAGTCTGGAAATACGAGAATTTCTATTAACAGAGAATCTCAGTTCTTGACCTAACCACACTGTATCTTTATGTATCTTCGTGATCATTGTGAAATAAACTAAATCTTTTCGATGTGTAGCACATTCAGTTTCTATAAACCACTTCGGATATTTTTTATGTACAGCATCAGATATAATCCGAAATAGTTTATCCAAAATGAATGTTTCGCTGCGCAAGGCCGGATAAAAGTGATCAAATACAACATTAATAATTTTGAAAATATTTGAAAATTCGAGTGACGGCACTAATAAATGACCAAAGTCGACATTTTCACTTACAATAAACGCGCGAAAGGATATTAGCAGTTGATCGTTTCGCTGAAATTCTCTGCTATTGTCTGTTAAATCATTATAACACATGTCGCATCGCGATTTTTCCCTACTTTTTTTGGCAATATATCCTGCAAAGTATTCTATTGCACAAGATTCTAAAGAGTACACTGATGTCGACAATGATTCCAATTCATAATGAATTCCTAACTGTATGTCATCATTCTCAACATCATTGTCCTCTATTTCTACATTGTTAAATGAAACATCATTGCTTGATGATGCTGCAGCATATTGTGCTATAGCAACATCTTCTTCTAAAAGCGTTGTGTCTTCATCAGGTAGACAATTACTATTTAAAGAATTACTGGTCAAATTTAATATTATATTCTTCCTAATAGCAAGACGCACCGCTTTTACAGATGGATTTCGGTTGTAAGTGCCACCGTGCATTCGAAGAATTGAAAAGAAATTTTCTACAACATCCG